GGTGATTTAGGCAGCAGCATTTGGCTTTTTTTTTTTTTTTTTTTTTTTTATAAAGAGATATTTTTTTTTTTTCATGGTAAAAGATGAAATGATGCGCAGTTCAGTTAAGCGAGGCATGCTGTGTGTGTAGAAACGCTGCAGCTGGTTCGGATTGCAGCAGGGAGGCAGGCGAGAGGAAGGTCCCTCGCTCTCTCCAGCAGCCTGAGTGAACGGGCTGCTGTTGCAGTTCATGTGTGGCATTGAAAGGATCGCTCTCCTTTTTTTAAAAATACGCCAAAAGAGAGTTTGTAGAGTGGTACAGTTATGTGTAGGGGTAAGGGAATATGCTTTTTTGGCGTTCTGGTGAATTCCTTGATGAATGGTGTTTATCAGCAGATACCATGTACTGACAACATGTGAAATAGGGTAAAAGAGAAGTGATTTTTTTTTTAATGGGAATTATTGGGAAAGAGGGATGCTGAATATCTTTACCAAACAAGACCTGCACTCTTCTGAGATGAGTAAATTTACTTTGAGGATTGGTTTGGACTGCCGACACCTAAATAAATGCCTGTATTATCTTGAAAAGGCTCTGTGTATTTTAGCTCTTAGTAATGAATTGCGGCTGTCAATTAAACCTTTGATATGAGGGAAGAATACTGGGACCGACAATGCGACTAGTCTCTCGCAGATTGTGGTGCCCAGGTTTGTCTCCTGGTTTAACACCTTGAAGGAACGGGTTTTCGGTTGCCAGGCTGAGTCTCGAGGCTTGTAAGCCGCTTCGATGCTTGGCCGTTCGCTGTTTCACACAGCGAGGTTCTGCTTCGGGGGGGAATAGCCATCGCTCAGCTCTGTCCCCCGGAGTTTGTAGCCTCAGAAGTAACGGCTGCAGTGGGATGTTTAGTCATGTGTCTCAGTAGAAAATCTCAAGGCTTTTGAGCCGAGATGTTCTCGGTGCCTCGGCTGCAGCCCGGGGCCACCCTTCCCCCGGCGGGTTTGGTGGAGGAGGGCGCAGTTCCGGTCCCGTTCGACCCGTCTCTCTTCCGAACAGGCGGGAGGCTTCTGCACGTCCACGTCTTGCTCGGAGTGCCAGAGAGCAGCTGGAGAAGGGAAACAGCCGAGCAGCGTGTGGGAGGCACGGCACTGATTGGAAACCAATGCGTGACTACCTTTAACGGCTGCACAAATAATTCTTTTCTGCCATGAACAGAACAGGGAATTACTCCCTTTCCAGCTCTGTATGGGTCAGGGGATGGTCGCAAACTGTTTTATTTGCAGTCTCTCTTTATGCTAATTAATATTACCCTGGGGAAAAAAAATATTCCTAATGAAATGATGCTTAATACATGAAAAGATACATATATATGAAAAATGTAGCATAAAACAGAGTTCCTAAAGACATGATAGGTTGCCCTCCCTTGACTGGAGTAATGGGCTCGTTGCTGAGAATTGTGTTCGGGTCACCGTGCTGTCTGTGGTGGCAATGGTTAGGAAAGGATAAAAATAAATAAATCGAAAGAATACAGTGATCACTTCCCTTCGGTTTGGCATCCTTCCCTCCCGCGGTGAGCTGTCCTCCCCGAGCCTGCGTAGTGCACTTCAGCCACTCCGGTCCTTCCTCTGGGACAGATCCCATAATTTCACGTGCTCAGAGTAGGGGGGGAGAAAGCCCTGCTTACTCTGTTTGAAACTGCCAGTGGGGGGTTTAAAGCTTGTTGGTCTTGATGTGATGCCCTAGCTCTTGGTTTATGGAGATGCCAACAGCAAATGATTATTCACACTTTCTTTGTAATTTATGGCTTTATTCTGTCGTATTTCTCTCTCTAGTACTTTGGAACCTGTTCCCCTTGCTGCAGAAACCTAATCTTTTATTATCTCTTTTCATAGGGAATCATTTCATTATCTCCCATCACCCATGTTGTCTTTCCTGTATTATTCTCCTCCTACTGTATCTTTTTTTTCGGACAGAAGTACGGGAATTCCCTGCCGAACAGGAGTTGTGGGAGCAGCATGGATTTGTGTAGCGCTAATGAGATGGTCCTTTTCATTTACTTCCATACACAGTATTCAGCATTGTCTTTCTCTTTTCCACAACATACTGAACGGACATTTTAATGGCGATATTCCCAGGGATTTTAACGTCTCTTCCGTGGGACCCAGGCTGTGTGAAGCCTGTGGTTGTGTGGGTATCATTAGGGCTGTGTTTTCCCCGTGTGCGGTATTTCACATTGACCGTCGTTTTCCCTTTTATCAAGCCTATTTCCCGAAGATGCAGTTGTGCTGGTTTTCGGTGCTTATTCGTTCTTCTCTGTGCTGTATTACTTGTTTCTGTTGCACAAATCGTTCCCTGGTGTGTCGGCTGTAAGGAGCGATGCCTGCCGAGCCAGACACAAGATACTTTTACTTGCGGTGATGACTGGATGCAAACTTTTCTTTCCCCCCCTCTCAGTGCCTCGTGGTTATTGCAGCAATGACCGACATTATAAAGCAGCGAACAGAGCAGATAGCTCTGGGAAGGAGAAGGCATTTCTGCGCTGGCGGAGCGGAGGCTTTGGCAGCCCCACCGTCGGCGGTGTCTCGGGAACGACAGAGAAAGCAGTGAGTGTCTGGGACTGTCTGGACCAGCCTCGGGATCTGCCCAAATATGGAGGAGAGCCCTTTCATGGATCCCTTGGGTCCTCCTGACGTCAGATTTGGTACAAAGCTGTCAGTGTAGTCGCTCGCTGGTGGAGGTCGGCTGCTCCCGCGGGAGCCATCTCCGCCGAGCCGGTGGGAGCAGAACTGGGAGTTACGCGGGCGGCGCAGACAAGTCAGCCTTTGTGCGGCGGCACTGGTGGCGGGCTGTGCTGTCCTCCGCGGCACCCCTGAGGAGCAGCAAAACGAGCGAGAGCTGCCTTGGGCGTTTGGATTTGGTCCTTTTAGAATAGATGTGTGCACTGTAGGCTGATTGGTACCATACCGAGTGTTCTTCGTGCCCGTATCCTCCTGTCTTCTGATTACCTGATCCTTAGTTGTCATACCGACATGAAAGCCGTTCTCTGCTTTAAATGTGAAAGATCTCTGAACAGACAGATATTACGTCCAGCTAAATTGATTACTCCCTTAGCTGAGTGCGGCTCATGGACAGGGGGACGGAGCAAGTCCGTAAGTCTGTTCTTCCTCGCTTTCAGGGATGGGTGGAAGAGGCATCGAGCGTTGCACAGACCCGTACGTTTTGCTGCTTAGACGTGAATACGTGACCTCCTCACAACCGAAGTGTGAGAAACAGTCGTGGCCTTGTTGGAACGCCCCGTCCGTTTCAGCGCGGCTGTTTGCAGCAGGACTGCAGCACGTACCAGCAGCGTTAGGGATCGGGAAGGGATAGCGAGCTGCCTGTTTGCCTTGGCTTCTGCTCCTGTTGTTAAAAGAAATATTGGACGTACAACCAGAGCAGCGAGGGGCTTCAGAGGCCCATCTGGGAAAAATTTTGCAGGTGCTGTATGATCAGCTTTTGTTTGAGTTGAATATTTCACATTGCAAATTAAATGCTGTTTGCTGACTGCTGAAAGCTGTCGTTGCAGAAGACGTAATAAGCTTTGGCCCTCTTGGAGATAGTCCGTACGTTATACAGAAG